AAACCTGTTGCTCTGTGAGTTACCAGGAGAGCACATGTTAAAAAATAAAAACCAAACCTGTACATGTACCCCCTGAATCTAAAATAAAAATAATACATTTTTAAAAGAACACATTCTTTAGGTGGGACACCTTCTTAGAAGTAACGTACCCTACAAAGCAAATCAGAAACAGCTTACTGCTAAAATCAAAGATGCTTCCTTTATATAGCCAGGAAGGAGGCTAAAACATCAGGCTAAAAAGTAACAAAAAACAAGGTACAGCACGCTAAAATAAAAATAGGGATGGGCACAGTGGCTCACTCCTGTAATTCTCAGCACCTTGGGAGGCCGAAGCAGGCGGATCACTTGAGGTCAGGAGTTCAAGACCAGCCTGACCAACATGGTGAAACCCTGTCTCTACTAAAAATACACAAGAATTAGCTGGGCGTGGTGACGTGTGCCCATAATTCCAGCTCACAAGAATCACTTGGACCTGGGAGGCAGAGGTTGCAGTGAGCTGAGAGACCATGCCACTGCACTCTAGGTTAGGCAATAAAGCAAGGTTCTGTCTCAAAAAAAAAAGTGTATGGATGAACACATCCTCTAGGATGAATGCTCCATAATTCCTATAAACTTGGAGCCACCACTGGCTCTCTTTCATTTTATAAAGGGAAAGCTATCTAATCATCGTAACACAGGAAAGCAGATTTGAGAGATGAAGAATGACAGACAGATGAACATATTGACTGACCATCTAGATCCACCTGTAGACTTTTAATTTACATCAGTGGTTCTCAATGTCACTCCTAAGGAGTGATTTAGAAATCTGAAGGGGCTGTTTGGCTAGTCACAATAAATGGTAGGTACCATTTACATTTACTAAGTAGGAAAAATGAGTGGTAACTACCCTGCAATAAACAGGACGGCCAGGCCCAACAAAGACCTGCCCTCCAACATGTGTATTTCGGACATTTTGCCTGGACATTCATTTGGTGAAAAACGACCTCTAATTAACTGAGACTAAATCCAGCTCCATTCTAAACACAAATTATTTTCCATTTGGTTTTAATATATACTGAATTTTCCAGGGATATAACTACTGTGAAAACTGCAGTAAGTTTATGCTTCCCCACAAACCCCAGAAATTTCCTGAGTTCTTCACCATTTTGAAAAATCATAACATTGTACCAAAAATGCTTCTGATAGATGAACTGTAAATATAATACTCTTGTACTATCTGCATTTGTAGCTATAACCTTCTTAATTTTGTCTCCCAGAATACTTATGGCTAGGCATTTACATATTAAAATACATATATTATTTTTATTTTTCCTTTATATTAATTGGAGAATGGTGTATATATGCATATGTATTTTTATGTTTTATAGCTTATATCATCAATGAATTTCAAATCAGGATAGTAGAGGGCATTACAAGATAATTGTTATGAAAAGAGAGATTTTGGGTCTGATATAGCTAACAACCATTTGAGTTACATGAACCAATATATTCTAGTTTTTTCTTTTTTTTTGAGACAGAGTCATGCTCTGTTACAATCTCAGCACACTGCAACCTCCAGCTCCCGGGTTTAAGCAATTCTCCTGGCTCAGCCTTCTGAGTAGCTGGGATTACAGGTGCCTGCCACCACACCCGCTTAGTTTTTATATTTCTAGTAGAGACGAGGTTTCACCATTTTGGCCAGGGTGGTCTTGAACTCCTGACCTTGATCCACCTGCCTCCGCTTCCCAAAGTGCTGGGATTACAGGCGTGAGCCACCGCACCAGGCAATTTTTTATTTTTTGTAAAGATGGGGTCTTGCCATGTTGCCAGGGTGATCTTAAACTCCTGAACTCAAGCAATCTTCCCAGAAGTTTGAGATCAGCCTGGGCAACTAATAAGACCTCATCTCTAAAAAAAAATTTTAAAACTGGCGAAGCATTACAGGCATGGTGGTGCATGCCTGTAATCCCAGCTACTTGGGAGGCTAAGGCAAGAGGACTGTGTGAGGCCAGAAGGTTGAGGCTCTTTGAAGTATGATCATGCCACTCTATTCCAGTCTGCGTAACAGAGCAAGACCCTATTGAAAAATAAATAAATAATAAGAAAAAAAAGTAATTCAAGGGGGAAGAAAAAAGATCAAAAAGGTTCTAGACCTATACAATAAGAATTTTAAAGTATCCACTGATCTGCAATTATTAATAGAAGGTCACCAGAGATTTTATTGAAAGGATGGCCAGACTACAGTAGGTAGAAGACTAATGAAAGATAAAAAAGTAAACACAAACACCTCTTAAGAAATTTTATTGAAAAGGAAAGGAAAAAGATTACTAGGCAGTAACTAGAACAGTAATTCTCAATTCTGGCTATAGTAACTCTAGAAGCTTTTAAAAATTACCAATGCCTGGAATCACCCAGACTAATAAAATCACAATCCCTGGGGATGGAGCCTAGGTATCAGTTTTTAAAAAGATATCCTCAGTGACACTAATGTATAGCCAGGATTGAAAAACAGAGAGCTAAACAGTAAAACAGTGCCCAAGGGGCGTTAACTGGGAAAGAGGGCAGGAAGAAGATAGATGATACAAATCCCAGATGAAACAGCTAAGGAATGGGTCAGGAACAGGGGCTGATAGCTTGCCTTGAAAAAAGAAACGACACCTCATCTCAGGAGGCTGGAGGGATAAATGATTGTTGATATAGAGAAGCTGGGCACAGGGACTTGGGAAGTTCATGTCCAAGGCCCCCATTTTCATAAAGGAGAATATAAATCAACTTCTGAGCATCAGCTACTGGATAAGAAATTTGAAGAGTGAAATTTACTGAAAATTCAAAATATCTGTTCAGGCAATGCAAAACAAAAGCCTAACCAAAAGCATCAACAGTCTAGTAGAGATGAAATGTACCTTGCTATCTGCAGGGGCACCACTGGGCACATTTATGTGATTTTTTTCTCCAGTGGTGCTGAACCATCCCCTAGTAGAGGAGCAAGAAAAAGGGAACCACAGCACTACTCCAAAATTGGCCATTTAGTGGGTGGAATGGGGAAAAAAAAAAAAAAAAAAGATCCATAAGAGGTAAAAGTTTAGATGAACTGTAGTTGAGAAACTCAACAATAAGATCTCAGACAGAGAAGGGAAAGTGATCTACACACCGTTTAACTGGCACAGGATATAGCAGCTTTTTTTTCTCTTAGACAGAGTCTCGCTCTGTCACCAGGCTGGAGTGCGGTGGCACAGTCTCAGCTCACTGCAATCACTGCCTCTGGGTTCAAGCAATTCTCCTGCCTCAGCCTCCTGAGTAGCTGACTACAGGCGCGCGCCACCATGTCCAACTAATTTTTGTACTTTTAGTAGAATCGAGGTTTCACTATGTTAACCAGGATGGTCTCAATCTCCTGACCTTGTGATCCACCCACCTTGGCCTCCCACAGTACTGGTATTACAGACCTGAGCCACCACACTTGGCCAGGATATGGTAGCTTTAACTCTGGGTGCCCTAAGCTAAGATTTCACTGATTTTTGTCCTAGACAATCTCATTAAATCAGATTTCCCATATCCTATATTTGTTCTATGAAGGGATGTCTGCAACTAACTTTGACATGCACAAAACATAAGATGAACTAATGGATGAATAAGTAATAAAGCAAATACGATAAAATGTTAAAGTCTAGAAGGCGTGTGTTGGGGGAGAGGGAGAGTGTAGGCTCTAGAATAGCACTGTTCAATAGACCTTTCTAAGATAATGGAAATTTTCTATAATATGTTTTGTCAAATATGGTTAACTATTAGCTACATGTGGCCAATGAGTACTCAAAATACAGCTAGTGGGACTGAGGTACTCTGAATTTTTAGTTTCATTAACTTCTGGTTAATTTAAATTTAAATTGACATAGCTCCACGTGGATAGCAGCTGCCATATGAGACAATGCCACACTAGATTCACATAGCACTGGATTCAGGTCTTGGATCCACCAATGGCTGTTACTTTATTTCTCTGAGACTCAGTTTATTATTTTACAAAATGAAAAGAGCAATAGCACCTATTACTTCACACAAATTAAACAACATAAAGCAGATAAAGCATGAAGCACAGTCCTGTACATATGGCAAACACTTAAAATTAACATTTTTTCTTCCAACTAAATGAGATCCATGAGCAAAACCATCTGTTTGACTCACCATGTGTTCCCAGTGCCCAGTACAGTGCCCCACACAAAAAGACACTCATTACATGAATGTTTTTACAGTCACAAGACTTCATATTTATCCTATTAAATTTCTCTTTTTCTTTTCTTCACAAAAAGTAGATACATGATTAAATTTCATGTTATGTCCACTGCTCCAATCTGCTGAAATATTTAATTCTAATATATGTGATGCCCTTTTGAAAATTTGATAAATATGCTGCTATAGTTTGAATGTACCTTCCTCAAAAATTCATATGTTGGAAACTTAATCCCCAATGCAGCAGTGTTGAAAAGTGGGCACTTTAAGGAATGAATCCCCCATGAGTGGATTAATGCCTTTATCTTGGAAGTGAATTAGTCACTGTGGAGTGAGTTCCTAATGAGAGGGTGATTTTGGCCCTTTTCTTTCTGCTCATGCATGCTCTCTTGCCCTTCTGCCTTCCAACATGGAATGATACAGCAAGAAGGCCCTCGCCAGATGTGGATCCCTCAACCTTGCACTTCCCAGGCTTCAGAAATGTAAGAAAGGAATCTCTGTTTTTTATAAATCACCCAGTCTCAGGTATTCCGTTATAGCTACACAAAATGACTAAGACACATATCATCTATGTATGAATCTGAGACATTGACAAAAGTGCTAAGCACAGCCCTGTAACACTTTTCACGCTCTAGACTATCACCGGTGAGCGCCAACATTCGATTCAGCTTCACTTTCATCCTTCCCACGTGCGTCCTGTCCACAGACTAGGAAGTATGAGAACCTCATAGAGACTAGGTCATACCAATCTGTCCTTCCCTGAAACTACCTTAAAAAGAACTTAAACGACAACTCACCCTTCAATAGCTGGAGATCTGTCAGGACGAGTACTTCCTCGAGATCTGTACCTCCGACCCACTGGCAGCCGTGGAGGCCTGGCTCCCCAGAAGTCAGTGTGAGTCTGGTGACCCCTTTCATTGGCTCTATGATCTTGGTCCAGTGGACTGCTACTTAGAAACGGTCTAAAATCTTGAAAAATCATCGTGTGATCCAAATGGCCCCAAAGCTAGTAAAGACCAGAAACAAATCACATGTTAAAAAAAGGAATCAGTAAACATCTGGATTGTTTCGTTTTTCGCTATTACAAATGGCCACCGCGTCTTCTGCTGCAGAGGTATGAGTTTCTCTCTTTTTGGTCTTCTGGCCTCCAGGGTTTCCACTAAGAAATCAGCAGAAATTCATCTTATTTAGGATCCCTTAACTATTACAAGTTGCTTCTCTCTTGCTGCTTTCAAGATTCTCTCTTTATCGTGGCTTCTGAAATTTTGATTATAATATGTCTCATAGATGTTTTTGAGTTTATCATTTTTAAGTGTTAGTTGAGTTTCTTATATGTGTACATTCATGTATTGCCAAATTTGAAATGGTTTTGGCAATTACTTCTTAAACATGTGTTCTGCATCTTTCTCCCTCTCCTTTCCATGATACATATATTGGTGTCCCACACATTTCTCTGGCTCTGTTCATTTTTCTTCAATCTTTTTTTTTTGAGACAGAGTCTTGCTCTGTTGCCAGGTACCAGGCTGGAGTGCAGTGGCGCGATCTTGGCTCACTGCAACCTCTGCCTCCTGGGTTCAAGCAATTCTCCTGCCTCAGACTCCTGAGTAGCTGGGACTACAGGCGTACACCACCACAACCAGCTAATTTTTGTATTTTTTTAGTAGAGACGGGGTTTCACCATGTTGGCCAGGATGGTCTCGATCTCTTGACCTCGTGATATGGCCTCCTAAAGTGCTGGGATTACAGGTGTGAGCCGCACTGCCCGGCCTTCTTCAATCTTTTAAATGTGTGCTCCTCAAACTGTTTAATTTCAATGGACCTATCTTCAAGTTCACAAATTCTTCTGTCTGCTCAGATCTTTTGTTGAGCTCCTCTAGTAAATTTTTCATTTCAATTATTATAATCTTCAGCTCCAAAATTTGTATTTGCTGCCTTTTAAAAACCGCTATCTCTTTATTACTATTCTCTATTTGTTGAGACATTATCATCTTGAATTCCTTTAAGTTCTTTGTCCATGGTGTCCTTCGGCTCTTTGAGTATACTTAAGACGGCCGATTTAAAGTTTTTGTCTAGTAATTCCAATATTAGCGCTTCCTCAGGGTAGTTTCTGTTCATTTATTTTTTCTTGTGAATGAGGTATATTTTCTAGTTTCTTCACATGCTTCATAATTTTTTGTTGAAAACTGAACACGGCTGGGCATGGTGGTACACGCCTGTAATCCCAACACTTTGGGAGGATCACCTGAGGTCAGGAGTTCAAGACCATCCTGACTAACACGGTGAAACACTAACTCTAATACAATAAACAAATCAGCTGGGCATGGTGGGCATACCTGTAATCCCAGCTACTCAGGAGGCTGAGACAGGAGAATCACTTGAACCCAGGCAGCAGAGGTTGTTGCACTTCAGTCTGGGCAATAAGAGCTAAACTCTATCTCCATAAACAAACAAACAAAACAAAACAAAAAGAGATGGGTGCAGTGGTATGTGCCTCCAAGGAATGAAGTACTGAAACATGCTACTCAAGAAGCTGAGGTGGGAGGGTCACTTGCACCTAGAGTTCAGAGTTCAATATTAGCCAAAACAACACAGCAAGACCACATTCCAAAACAAATAAAAACAAAACAAACAAAAAAACAAACAAACAAAAAGAAAGAGACACAGAGAAAAGCAAAATGCTCCGGAGGTCTTTGCTGATTAGCTGTTGGGGGCACTCCTTCAAAACTTAGCCAGGGCCTTTATAAATCTGCCTTAACATTCATTTCCTGCTTATGTTGACCCTAAAGACAAGCCAGGGGTGAAAGCTAATGGCCTTTTCGAGTCTATTCTGAGTATGCATACTGCCCTGAGCCTTGCACTTGGTTTTCTAGGTTTTCCTGCACAATAGCTTTTCAAAGTCCCTATTCCTCCACAAAAACTCACTCGACAGCTTTTCCTCCCAGGCTTCCAACATCTTATTGTTTGCCCTGTTAATTTTTCCCCCCCAGGTGGCAGTCCTTTGAGAAAAGAACAAAACAGACAAACACAATCCTTTAGAAAGAAGAGAGTCCACTCTGCTCTCTCTGAAATCAGGCACCAGCAGGGGGGAACACAGGCTATCACCTTCAAGACTGCAGCGTTACCAGGAAGGGAGGTGAGGCCAGGGTAAGTTAAAATGCTACAAAGATCTCCTATCTTGTTTCAGTGCCCTTTCTTCTGGCTAAGTATTTGCTTGGCTGCTGTAAACCTTTGACTATCTTTCCAGAGTTCTGATAAGCTTTATTCTGACTTTTTTGGCAACTTGTTTGGTGTTTCTATGGAGGGATGACCCTCAGAAGTCCCTACTCTGCCATTTTGGTTGACGTCACCCTTCACTGAGGTTTTAGTTTGCTTTCCCTGATACTAATAGGGCTAAACATCCTGTCATGTAATATTTACCAGTCATTCATGTCTTCTCTTTCTTTTTTGGTATTTAGAAATCCAAATATTTATTTATTTATTTATTTTCTTTTTGAGACAGAGTCTCACTCTGTCATCCAGGCTAGAGTGCAGTGGCACGATCTTGGGTCAGTGCAACCCCCATCTCCCGGGTTCAAGCGATTCTCCTGCCTCAGCCTCCTGAGTATCTAGGATTACAGTTGTGTGCCACCACACATGGCTAATATGTTATATTTTTAGTAGAGATGGAGTTTTACCACGTTGGCCAGGCTGGTATCGAACTCCTGACCTCAAGTGATCCACCTGCCTCAGCCTCCCAAAGTGCTGGGATTACAGGCATGAGCCTCTGCACCCAGCCACATTTATTTCTTAAATTTAAAACATCTTGTTAAATCACACTGAGTTTAATTGCCTTAGTATCTTTTATTAATTCTGTATTTTAATAGTTAACGGCTGGTGACAGAAATGCAACTGATTTTTGTGTACTGACTTTAGTATGCAGAAAATCTGCTGAACTCTTAATAATTCTAATAATTTGTGTACACAGAAATTTGTGTACACAGCTCATGCCTGTAACCCTAGCACTTTGGGAAGCCAAGGCAGGAGGATCCTTGAGACCAGGAGTTCAAGACTAGTCTGGGCAACACAGTGAGATCCTGTCTCTATAAAAAATTTAAACCATTAGCTGGGTGTGGTAGCATGCACTTTAAATTCCAGCTACTCAGGAGGCTGAGTGGGGAAGACTGCTTGAACCCAGGATCCTGAGCTCAAGTTCATGAGGTGGGGATTACAGTCAGCTGTATCAAACCCTATATGCTATGTTTTTTTCCTATACATACATAGCTATTGAAAAGTTTAATTTATAACTTATAACTTAATTTATAGCTTAGGCATAGCAAGAAATTAACAATATCTAATAATAAAACAGAACAGTTATAACAATATACAATAATAAAAGTTTTGTGAATGTGGTCTTTTTCTTTTTTGAGACAAGGTCTCAACTCTGTCACTCAGGCTGGAGTGCAATAATGCAATCACAGTTCACTGCAGCCTCAATTTCCTAGGTTCAAGTGATCCTCCCACCTCAATCCCGCAAGTAGCTAGGACTACAAGGAGGTACCACCACACTCAGCTAATTTAAAAAAACAAAATTTTTTTTTAGACATGGTGTCTAACTTTGCTGCTAAGGCTTGTCTCAAACATCTGGCTTAAAGCAATCCTCTTGCCTCAGCCTCACAAAGTACTGCAATTGAACCATGAGCCTCTGTGTCCTGCTTTAAAATATCTTACTGTAGCTGAGTGCCGTGGCTCATGCCTGTAATCCCACCACTTTGAGAAGCTGAGGTGGGCAGATCACTTGAGGCCAGGAGTCCGAGACCAGCCTGGCCAACATGGTGAAACCTTGTCTCTACTAAAAATACAAAAAAATTAGCCGGGCGTGGTGGCATACACCTGTAGTCCCAGCTACTTAGGAGGCCGAGGTTGCAAACCCAGGAGGAAGAGGTTGCAGTGAGTCAAGATCACTCCATTGCACTCCAGCCTGGGCAACAGAGCAAGACCCTGTCTCAAAAAATAAAAATAAATAAAATTATCTTTTGTAGTATATTCACCTATTTGTAGACCATGAGACTGCAGGACAGGGTTGGGGGGAAGGGCGGGTGGGTGCTCTACTGTACCAATTTAGACTACTCCAGAGTAAAAAAGCTTACATCCAACCCTACTCTGATCAACTTTTTAAAAATTCTTTTTGGGAGAAGGAGTCTCACTCTGTCACCTAGGCTAGAGGGCAGTGGCATGATCTTAGCTCACTGCACACTCCGCCTCCTGGGTTCAAGCCATTCTCCTGCCTCCAGAGTAGCTGGGATTCCAGGCGCCTACCACCATGCCCAGCTAAATTTTGTATTTTCAGTAGAGATGGGATTTTACCATGTTGACCAGGCTGGTCTTGAATGCCTGATCTCAGGTGATCTGCCTGCCTCAGCATCCCAGGGTGCTGCAATTACAGGCATGAGCCACCATGCCTGGCCTGACCAACATTTTCAAGAAGTTTTAAAAATTCTAATATACAAGCTGAAGAACAAAAAGTAATATTCATACTAAAAATATCAATTAGATTTCTCGGTCAGCTGCAGTGGCTCACATCTGTAATCCCAGCACTCTGGGAGTTCGGGGCGGGTGGATTACCTGATGTCAGGATCAAGACCAGGCTGACTAACACAAAGCCCTGTCTCTACTAAAAATACAAGAAATTAGCCAGATGTGGTGGCCCATGTCTGTAATCACAGCTACTTGGGAGGCTGAGGAAGGACCGCTTGAACTCGGGAGGCACAGGTTGCAGTGAGCCAAGATCGCACTATCACACTCTAGCTTGGGCAATAAAAGTGAAACTCCGCCGGGCGCGGTGGCTCAAGCCTGTAATCCCAGCACTTTGGGAGGCCGAGGCGGGTGGATCACAAGGTCAAGAGATCGAGACCATCCTGGTCAACATGGTGAAACCTCGTCTCTACTGAAAATACAAAAAATTAGCTGGGCATGGTGGTGTGTGCCTGTAATCCCAGCTACTCAGGAGGCTGAGGCAGGAGAATTGCC